AAATGGACTTTTGAATAATATAACGTGTAAAGTATATTGATGACTTGACACACACACACACACACATGTAGTTAAATGAGAACAAAGTATTCATCAAATTAATTTAATTTTTATCAATATAATCTCTTACACTATGTTTTGTTCTCTTATTTTTTTTAAAATTTCATAGTCTATTTTTCCCTATCAAAATAATTATATTTCTTTTTATTATTATTCATGGCTACTATCAATGTTTTGTTATCTATCTCTGCAAGTTTTAACAGTATAGTTTTCTTTTCAAATAATAATGACCGAATCAATAATCGAAGTAAACTTAAAGGACTAAATTAATAAAAATTAAATTTGCAAAACAAATTAATAACTGAGATAAATTTAAAAGACTCAGAGTTATATTATTATTTAATTTTATTTGGTCTTTGTTTAAATCGATAGACCTAAATACTAAAATTCTTTTAATGTGTGATGCATAGGTTTTTTACTTTTGCCTTTTTTAACACCCCCTGATTGTTGATTTCAATTTAAGAAAGACAAAATAAAATAAGGGAAAACAATAATTAGAGATCCCATATATAAGAACATTAATAACAATTATAAACTATGAATTATTGAAATTTTTATAATAGACCATGATTTTTACTTCTAATGAACTATTTTTCATTTATTGGCTTGAAATTTAAAATTGATTTTAATAAATTTTCAACTAACATTATAAGATTTTCAATTGTCTTTTGTTGATTTTTCAAATGACAACGAAAAATAACAAATAATTAACTTGTAATTTACAATTGACTCTCATAAATTTTTAACAAATGTTTTAAATAATCTCAAGTGTATTTGATAGATTTTTCAAATGATATATACAATAAAAATATTATAAGTGACTGGTTTGTGATTCACAATTGATTATCGAAAATTATCAACTAACATTATAAATAAATAAATAATATCAAGTGTATTTACTTATTTTTTAATGTAGTTCACCTGTTTATATATTAAGCAAAAAATCAAGATTGACAATTAATACATGTAGATTCCTAACTAACATTAATCTCAATTGTATGTGATAGATTTTTCAATTGACTATTTTATTTTTTTAATTAGAAACAAAGACCATGATCTATTATTAAAATTTTAATAATTTAGAGTTTGTAATTATCATTAATGTTCTCATGAAATTCTTAATCTCGTCATTTTCTCTAAAATAATTTTTTCATACCATTCACTAGCAGTTCTCGGGCTGATGAATCCATCGTCAAAAAGCATTCGGGCTGTTTTGTCCAAAACCAAGGCGGGCAACAAAATTGGGGCACTGCACACCTGCACTCAATCTCTACGCAATTGCTTCGGAAGATCAGAGTCAGTTTGTTACGGAAAGAGCGTAGCAACGTCAGTCCCGGCACTTGATGCGCTAATTAGGGTTTGAGCGAAACCTGATTAATTATTTAATGGTTATACTAATTAATCAGTCTCTGACTAATTAAGTAAAAGACTCATTTGAAGCACCCGTTTCAAATGCTTAAACTGAGATAATTTCCTGTATATTAGCTTGAATGAACAGAATGTCTTTTTTTAACTAATCCCTGACACTTGCCGCGGCCTTACTTGTTCTGACTCCTGGGAGACACCATCCCATTTAGTCATAACGCACAACGCGGAAACCTTTCAGGACTTAATAATTTTTCAAAGTGATGTCTTTCCTTTTGCAATCATTGTTAAAGCTGACTGGATGCTTTATTTGCCACCCTTTGTTTTTGCAGCAGAAGAAGGAGATATATAGCACAAGCCACGCATGTGCTCTCATCATTGCACCGCAGAGATGGACATAATGTCCGTTTGGTAATTAGAAGATAGGTTGGGAATATATTAATTAAAGAACGTATAATTAAAGACGTGTCTAAACAACCGGTTTAAACGAAGTGAACAGTCCTTGATGAGTATAGCTAAAATGGAGTTCGACGACTGACGCCACCTCATCATATCGTAAAGGTCGAAAAACTTCGATGAAGATTCAGGTTATTGTACATGCTCAGTCAGGCGTTTTTAGAAGAGCTCGAAACACGTCATGTGGCCTCATGTCTGTTTGTGCATCCTTCATAGTGCCAAGTGGACGTTATTGACTTTTAATTCCCCTCTTCTTTATTCGTATAATAATGAAATTACTACTGTATTTGGAAGAAAATTAAAAACAATTTAAGCGTTAGCGAAATTCTCTAGAGTGCAGAAGACTAGATCAGATTAGTATCTCTGCAGGTTTTGAAACTGCTTGTAGATCATGTTAAGAAGTCAGTCAATCACGTGCGAGTGCCGTTTGTTAGAGCGACGAACGGAAAGAGACAGCTTTCTTTAATTTACTTTCCTTCCTCTGGTGGGAACCATGTGTCCCATTTCGCGTTAGAGTTTCATGGTGTGGTTATCCCACCTCATTAAGCCGAGCGGAGAAGCCTGAAAGATGACCGTTTTTGCTGCGATAAGGAAAAGCCAGTGCTGAGTGGCATTCAATGAATCATCCAACGCAACGGGGTGAACTCAGAATCCTCATGTGGCTTATCAATTGTCGAAAATCTGCGTGCTGGCGTTCTTGAACTCTGTCCCTTGTTGTCCGTACTTTCCTTCCCCTATACCTTCGCCAACGGGGTTTGTGAATTCTGAATCCAGGCGACCCAAAATAATAACCATCCTGTTCCATTTTGTTATTTTTTACTTTCTTTAACTTTTTTCCATTTCCTTCTTCTTCAACTTTCCCTCCGCTTCTCATTTTAATTCTGAGATTAAATTTTGAATGTTCCAGATTTAATATTTTATAAAATATTTTTTATTTTTATATTACTGTTATGATTTGTTGAGATTTAATTTTTTCAGCCCAGACATTTATGATTTGCTATTTATTTTTCATAATTCTACCTTTTAATAATATAATATAATTCTGTAAAATATTAAATCATGGATTTAATAAATTTCATTTTCATTATGAGAACCTCGCAAATGAGTAATGTATAAATATTTCAATAAGCATTTTTTGAGCATTAAACCATGCTCTAAGATCTCTAGTAAGTCATGGACCAACTAACTAGAATTTTTCGTAATAACAAGGAAAAATGTAAGTGTCTTAACTTGCATTATTTGACTTATGAAGAGTTCATATAGTTTTTTTTTATTAAATCCATGTTACATGTGAATAAATATATTGATTATTTTTGCTTAATTAAATTGTTACTTACGTATAATATATTTAACTTGCACCATTAAAATATTTAATGGAGATAATGTATTCTCGTAATGTGTATCTTGAACAGTTTGGTGTAACTGATGTAGTGTTATATATGGGCCGATGCGCATCACAGGGAGTTTGATAAATGAACGGTACTGTTTGTAATTTATTATATAAGTTTTCTGATGAAATTTAATTTATATTATTAATATTAATATTAATATTAATATGTTGATATATTGATGATTATTGAGGGTTCAACTAAGAGGCACCATTTCATGAAAAGCCTACGCGGGTCAACATCATGTAAGTCAAGTCCTTTCCTGGTACAAATCAAACCCCATTATTCCTAGTGCTGCCATCTAATCTTTCTCATCCGCCAGTTGACTCATCTCATGATCACTTCTCTCTCGTTTGCCGTTACGCTACTTCGAAGCTGGACTTATCGGACTTTAATTATTAATGTAATAATTATTAGTTAGGGAGTAATATTTTGACCACTCTTCCATGGAAAAATGCCCCGCAAACAATATTATCATTTCAAATGTTAAGCTAGCTGAAGAGTCCGAAGTAATCAAAATATGAAGGAGAAGAGGTGACGTGTTGTTATGGACGAGGCCTGAGAGAAGAAGAGGCCCACTTTCATCTACATTCTTTTAAAGCCCTAAAAAAGCCCACACATGGATTGTCCATGCAACCAATGCCCATGTGCCTTGCAAATTATACAATTATTTTTCTTTGTTTTCCCCCATTTTGAATGCCTTTTCACACTCAGTATTTTTTTTTATTTTAAATAAAATCATATAAGTTACTCTAAATAATTAATCAAAAAATTCGGTGCACGGTGCCTTTAAATATAAATACAAGGATCGTTCTAATCCCTTCCAATTTATTTTTACTTTTAATATACATACATACATATATTGTGCCAACAATGTTAATAGTAGATCTGCACGGGATCCGTATCTAAATCTGCAAGGGCCGCCCTGGCACTTGGATGGGTCCCACAGCTGCCCACCCTCCTCGTGGTATGTTTTTTACGACCTTTTTATCCCATGACTAACATATCAATGTTCATTAATAACAACGACAATGACCCTGAAACACAAATTCTCCGGTCATTGCTATGGATCCATGATAATTAAAAACTAGACTACATTATTTTAGTCCATAAGCAATACGAGCAACATGTTACACTTGGGTTATTTCTTCTGCCACATGCCAATCTTATTTGATTAGTATCAGTAATTTTTTTTTATTACACAGGCGGGTTTTCTTATTATATACATTTTTATTTGAAATATAATCAAATACTAAATATAAATAATTTATTTAATGATTATTCAAATTTTAGTTCACTCTATTGAAAGCACTAGCCCTTTACGCAAGATCTAACTCTTCATTAATTAATTAACAGTATTATTTTTTATGATAACCCTCTAAGCATCCAAATAAACCTCCTTGCTTGGGTGAATGTGGCCGGTCTCTAACTCCATGAAGCATGAATCTGTGAGGACTAACTTTTGTTCTATTATATTAAAGATGTTTTGAAAGGAAAAAAAAAAAAAAAAGTGGGGTAGTCAACTATGAGTCATCAACACTCAATTAAATGAACCATGTGCTTTGGTGAACCTCACACTCACAAACAACTAAACAAGCTCTAGCTCATTTTACTTCACAAATTGCAGCTTTACCATTCTGCGTTCCTGACACACATCATTCTCGATTTCTCGTCGGCTGCTCCGCTCCTAAATATTCACAGAAAATAATTGGAGGGGAAGATAGATAAGCCCAACAATGGCATATTTGCTATTTCACTTGAAATCCAAGTGCTTTCTCCTAAGTTAACGTCCATATAAACCCACCCTGCAACCCCTACTCCTCCTACGTCCTTTTTTCCTCTCTCTCCTGTGATTCTGAAATTGCAGACTCGCTCTGGTCTCAGCTGACATGCCAACTTTTGCGTTTCTGTCGGTGCTCTTCTTTACCGCCTTCCATGTCGCCTTCTCCGTCACCGACGGTGAGCTCCTCACTTACACTCCCTTTACATTATATCATCGACTTCATCCTTCTCCACTGCCCCTCGTACTATTTCCCCCCCTTTTTTTGGTCATGAATTTATTGAGTTTTTCCCTTCTTCATTCTCAGAGAAAGTGTTGGTTGTTGCTATGTTTCCTCATTGTTTCTGTAGCTACCTTGTGGCTTGACTGCTTTTCATTTGACAACTTTCATTCCTAGTGAGTCTTGAGTCTCGACAACTTAGCCAGGTTTCTTGGAAGTTCTCATTTAATCGATTTCCTTTCAAGTTTGAACACGGTGACAATTATGTATCTGTATTGTCATTTTTTCTAATTTCCGAGGCTCGCTCCAAGTTATTTCCTTCTCGGGATATGTGCTTCTTGGGAGCTGAGCAAGCGGTTCTTGCTAAGTGTTCAATTATGATTTGAGCTCGGACGCCCATCGGATGGCAGCCTCACTGACTCGGACAAGAATTATTTTCTCGGGACCACATTATCAGACTGCGTAATGCAGAGTGCCCTGTAAATCCACATGGTCCAGCAAGCTTACATGATATTTTAAATGGCCAGGCCAAACTCTTAGGCGCTACTGTCCAACTGACATCACAAAAAATATGGAAGTCGGTTTCCCTCGATTAAAAAATGTTCAATCTTTTCCCATGTAGAGAATAAAATTTTTGAATACATGCATTACTTGGGTTCAACTAAACCCACTTCACGGATGCAGGACTGGTAGCAAATGGGAATTTCGAGCTGGGTCCAAAGCCATCGGACATGAAAGGCACGGTGGTGATCGGCGGCAGGCATGCCATACCGGAGTGGGAGATCTCGGGATACATAGAATACATAAGATCAGGTCAGAAACAGGGCGACATGTTGCTTGTGGTGCCAGAAGGAGCTTATGCGGTGAGGTTGGGCAACGAGGCCTCCATCAAGCAAAGAATAAAGGTGGTGAAGGGAATGTACTATTCCATCACATTTGTGGCAGCACGAACATGCGCACAAGAAGAACGATTGAACGTGTCGGTGTCCCCAGACTCAGGAATCCTACCAATGCAAACACTGTATAGCAGTAATGGCTGGGACACCTACGCCTGGGCCTTTCAAGCTGAGTATCCTGAGGCGGACTTGGTCATTCATAACCCTGGCGTAGAAGAAGACCCTGCGTGTGGACCACTCATTGATTCCATCGCTATCAAAGTTCTCTATCCACCTAAACCCACCAAAGGCAAGTTCGTGCTTGCGACTTTTTCATTATTAGGCATTAACACACTCGCAGTGTTTGATGTGATGTTTGTTATGTAACATTATGCAGATAACATACTAAAGAACGGTGATTTCGAAGAAGGGCCATATGTGTTTCCCAACTCGTCGTCGGGCGTGCTTATCCCGCCAAACATTGAAGACGACCACTCTCCACTTCCGGGATGGATGGTGGAGTCACTGAAGGCGGTGAAATACATAGATTCAGAGCATTTCTCAGTTCCACAAGGGAGGAGAGCGGTGGAGCTTGTGGCGGGGAAAGAGAGTGTGATAGCGCAGGTGGTGAGGACCATACCTGGGAAGACGTACGTGCTGTCATTTGCCGTTGGAGACGCTAAAAATGCTTGTGAAGGGTCGATGATTGTGGAAGGATACGCAGGCAAAGACACGATCAAAGTGCCTTATGAGTCCAGAGGCAAAGGTGGGTTCAAGCGTGCTGCTCTCAAGTTCGTGGCCGTGAGCACAAGAACGCGCATTATGTTCCTCAGCACATTCTACACCATGAGAAGCGATGACTTCTCTTCGCTTTGTGGACCTGTCATCGATAATGTCAGGTTGCTCAGTCTTCGTAAACCATAGGGAATTAGGGTGTCGCACCAATATGAGCCGATGAGTTAGATTATATATATCGTTTCTCATCATCTCCCAAATCCTTGCATGTTGAGGAAGGTGATGATATACTTTGTTAGTTCCCAAGAGAAGAGGAAGAAGAGGTTCTGGCGTGATTTCATTTTCATGAAACATAGGAGTGTGTAGTAATATATAATGTAATGCGTTGCTTTCTTTACGTTATATGTCGGAATAAATGGAGAACAAAATAGAAATGATTCGAAGTCTAATTGTCGACATAAGAAATAATATTCAAGTGGAGATCAAGTCTAATGCCAAGCCAAGGCAGTCCACGCGCATCGAGAAGCTCAGAATTTACGAAATGAACAACTTGGCTCTCCTATTCATGGTTGAGATCTAATACATGGGCTCCGTTAGCCCAAAAAAAAAAAATCAAAAAAGGGGCTTTCATAACTGGCTTTTAATGCTCACTCAGATGCTTGCTCTCTCTTTAGGGTTGAATGTTTTCTTCCACGCACATCGAGATTATTATCACACGAGAGATTGCCTCTTTGAAACCCAAATAAAAAACTCTAATTAAATTGCAAATTTATATATTGATCGATTAAAAACAACTGTGCTAGTGGCAGTCAACTGTTAATATCTCATGATCATCACCGTCCTCTATTCTCGACCATTAACTTTGCTGAGCTGTCGCAAATTCTCCACCGAAAAGTCGAAAACGCCTTGAATTGAACAGCTCTCTTAAGCAGTGCAGTTTTTTTGGGCCAAAACTTAAGCTGTACTTTTGGTCTTATGTCATTGCACTCTTTTTTTTTTTTTACATTTAACCTAGTTTAAATTAAAATATATAAAGAAATAATTGTAAAATTACGTGCAATTCAACGACATAAATGAAAAAATAACAAAATTTTGCGTGAATTTCACTTGAGCCAGTTATTGATCAAGGGTAGAGGAAACCAATAGACGGAATATGAAACTACTGTTCTTCATGTTTAAAATTGGTTCAAAGAGTTTTTAATTTGTCAAAATTAAATTTGATGAATGAATTATTTTGGGTATCTAGGAATCAAGGGATCTGGTTCTGGAGTGTGTAGATTGAAATTTACAGCAGTAAATGTTATGAGGTTATTTCACTGAACTTCGTAAACGAAGTGGACAAATTAGCTAAGCTCGGATCAAGGCATGAAGTGAGTTTAAAGTAAAACTAGCCCCATAGCAAGTACTTTCGGTGTTTTGTTCTCAATCTGTTGGGCTATAAAAAAGGCTCCGTTAATGCATAATCCCTGAATTGAGTTTTGAGATACTACTTGGGCGAGCCCACCCACTCTATTTGTTTTTTTTTTTTAAAAAAGGGTTACTTTCAAATTTCAGTTCGCAGTAGTTGCAAAAAATGTGGTTACAAAGTTAAAAAAAAAAAAAAAACCAATAAACGCGCGATTTAATCAAACGGTGGAGGTGGCTGCGTCGGCATAACGCAAGCTAGGGCTCGCTGAAACTCGAAACCCTTCCATATAAACCCTTGCAGAGCCCTAGAGTCTCATTCCTTCGTTGCCCTTTTTCTCTCCGACTTTCTCCTGTGCCTTCTCACTTGATCCGCTCCGCTACAATGGTATGCAGTTCTTTCACTTTCTTCTTTCAAGATCTTTGTTTATTCTTCGATCCTTATTTTGCATTTTGATTGCAACCCCATGCGGAATTCCTTCGTCATCCGATTTCCGTTCTGATCAAGATTGGTTGGTTCTTTTCCCCTCCTTGCAGGCTTTGCCGAATCAGCAAACAGTTGATTATCCGAGCTTCAAACTTGTGATTGTTGGGGATGGTGGAACAGGTACTCTTTGTTTCCATCCTTGTTTATTTCATTTTGCGATCTGTTTGGTTTCTGTTAATTTTGGTGATTAGACACAGCCAGTGTTTGAGTTAAATATAGTAGAATCGGGAACCACCTGATGAGTACCTAGCATTCGATATTGAAGTTTTGAGTTTTAAATTGATTCTTTTTGTAACTCAATTGCGCCAACTTTTTGAGTCGGGAATGTCTTGCTTATAAAATTTCATATCTTCCCGAACTCTTTCCAGCATGTACGAAATAGATTGAGGCTTGATGGATGTCGTTTTTACATCTTTCCTGTGTTCTTGCTATATTGAGTAAAATATTTCGAACCATTGCAGGGAAGACGACTTTCGTGAAAAGGCATCTTACAGGAGAATTTGAGAAGAAATACGAACGTAAGATTTACAATAGCCTCTGGTTGACTAAGAATGGTACTTGAGCTCTCATGTTATGTTCATATGAACTGATTTTTGTAAATCTATGCAAACAGCAACCATCGGTGTGGAGGTCCACCCGCTGGATTTTTTCACCAACTGTGGGAGGATTCGATTCTACTGCTGGGATACTGCGGGACAAGAGAAATTTGGTGGCCTTCGTGATGGATATTAGTAAGTTTTCAGCTGAGCACTCTTGACTATGGTGTAGAAAGTATGTTTGCGTCTTAATGCTTGTACTCATTCAGTACTGGTGTTTGTGAAGACCTGGGTTTTTTTTCCATTCTTTTATTTGAACATTTGTTTGATTCCTGACGCTTGCAAATTAGGTTGGGGTATATTTCGTCCGCATTTCTTTCAAGTAAACTTTATCCATACAAGTTGCTTGCGTGCATTGATGACGATCTTATCTGCCTGCGTAGTGGGTTCATTGTTTGTCCTTAATTCCTTTTCGTTATTATTGCTAGTAAACTGAAGTTATCTATTGGTTTGAGAGCGAGAGGCATTTTTCTTCTGCCCAAGACCTTTTGGAGAACCTCAATTATATTGACTATTCCATGTCTTGCAAGCATTGAGAAACGATAAAACGGCACTGAAACTCCCTTCTCCTTGCACCTGCCCCAGCCACTGTTGCTGGGTATTGACCTCTATTTGCCAAATCCGCTTATGGAGAAAGTCAATCAGCTATCCCCGCCCTTGTAGCAGGGTAAACTGGGTATAGTTATATCGGATGGTAAATAGGCTCTGTTGCCTTTCCAACCACTAAGACTTTTCTTTTAAACACAGATTTTAGACGTGCTTTAGAAGACATTTGAGATGTCTTCTAAAGGGAGAAGACATCAGCTTAAAAGAAAAAAAGCTGTCATCCCTCCCCAATTTTTTATTTCACAAGAAATACATTATCTTTGTGGTTTTGTGTTGACTGTTTATCTATTGTGTTTCTCTTAATAATTGGCTGGTCTTGATTTTCTACGCTGCAGTATTCATGGACAATGTGCGATTATAATGTTTGATGTCACTGCCCGGCTGACATACAAAAATGTCCCAACCTGGCATCGGGATCTGTGTCGGTTAGTGAATGAATTGGTTTTTCTATCTCGTTAGTTAGGCCTGAGCTGTTTGCAGTTTCTTATGTGTATTCTTTGGGTATTTGATTTGTAGGGTGTGTGAGAACATTCCTATTGTTCTTTGTGGTAACAAGGTTGACGTGAAGAACAGACAGGTTAAGGCGAAGCAGGTTACATTCCACCGGAAGAAAAATTTGCAGTATTATGAGATATCTGCTAAGAGCAACTACAACTTTGAGAAACCTTTTCTATATCTAGCGAGGAAACTTGCAGGGTAGATAATTCAACTCCTTTTGATTTCCGTGGCAATTGATCATAATGCATTTCAGCTTACATACAATTCACGCGTCAATTTTGCAGTGATCCTAACCTGCACTTTGTAGAGTCTCCTGCCTTGGCCCCACCTGAAGTTCAAATTGATTTGGCTGCACAAGCACAGTAAGTTTTGTGTCATCATCTGAAAAAATTGAATTCTCTTATCAGCAGATCTCTGTCTCCATTGATGCTCAGTACTGATAAATTTGAGCAAATGCTCGTAAGCGCTAAGCATTGTTGCTTGTTTTTAAATAACTGAAGTTTCCTAAAGAAATATGCACATTAAGCTGGATGTGCCGTTTTTTAAGCATTTCCTTGTGCTTGATTAATGAGACGCCGCAGTTGTCACATGGTAGTTGTGTAGTTTGTATTGTTGCTTGATTCGAATTGTCAATCATTAATTTCTGGAATGCAACGATTTTTTTCTGCAGGCACGAGCAGGAACTTGCGCAAGCTGCTGCTCAGCCCCTTCCTGATGATGACGATGACGCATTTGAATAAACTTAGATGTTTTGATTGCCCGGAAGGTGGGGGACAGCGTATTGTTAGGTATTACGTCTGTGGGCTACTGTCAAGAGCTGGCTGGTATTTGTGTATGGCAAATTATGTTTTGGGTTGTATCATTAAAATATGGGATTTTGAGGATGTGAGATTTCATCTTTTGAGCGTTTTTGCTAAAATTGGGTTATTAGTTTATAAGCAGTATTGCTGTTTGGATTGCCCGTTAACCGTTATCTCTTAACGGGGATGTTGGAGTTTTCTCGTTCTGGGTCTTCCATTTGACTTTGTACTCCGACAAATTGGATCTTGACCTCGGTAGTTAATTGTTTTCACCCCTTAATTGAGATTTATTTTTCAAAATCTTGTAACTTAGAGCTGCAAAGCATGTTGAACTATTGGGTTGGCCGTGAAGTAGAGCGAGGTGATTGCTAGGCTGAATTGCCTTTACATTCATTAAACATGAATGTAATTTAAAAAGAGAAAGTCTTGCGGTACAGTATGGCTCTCTTGCTCTCAACTGGCAAACCTTCGCTCCAATCAAGTCGACCCCATTCTGAGGAAGAAGACGACCTTCTTGCAAGAAGCTCAAAGAAGATCAAAAACACGTAAGAAGCTAATGCTAATATTCTCCAAGGACACTGGCCCCAATTGGGCTCAAAAGAAGCAAGAAGTACTTCAAGAAGTCAAACCTGTGCTGAAAAACTGAAGGGTGCCGGCAAGGATGATGACATGTTTGAAAGACAAACCGGTTGGGGAAGGAGATGAGGATGATAATCAGAGCGTTACTAACTCTGATGAAGAAAAAGAACCGGGCTTCTCTATCGTTGAAGATCCAATAGAAATTTTCCAACTTTCGTCTTCTCAACTAAGGTGAAAAAACAACTTTATTGTGCATGGAAAAAGGCAGTGATCGTGAAGTATTTGGACAAATTTATTAGGTTTAAAAGCTTTGGAAACAAGATTACAAGCAATGCGGGCAAAAAAAAAGGTGTGATTAAACTTATCAATATAGGTCATGGTTTTTTAGTTGTCAAGTTATAAAATAAGGAGGATTACTTCATGGCACACATTGGAGGCCCATGGATGATTTACAATCATTATCTTTCTGTGAGGCTATGGGAATCACGTTTCAAACCTTAGGAAGCCACCATTGATAAGGTAGCTTGTTGGGTTCGGGTTTCAAAAGTTTTTCTCAAATACTATGACAATGAAGCCCTTGCAAATATCGGTGATAGGATTGGCAAAACATTGACACATCCTGCCAACTAAGGAGACATTTTGCAAGAATCTGTGTGCTGGTAGATCTTAGTAAACAGTTAATGGCAGGTTTTCACTTAGATGGTGAGGACTATCACTTGGAGTATGAGGTTCTACACTTGCTATGTTCAAGTTGCAGAATCTATAGTCACAGATCGGAGGTTTGCATTGAAAGAAAAGTCCTACTACTTAGTAAAGATAAAACAGAGCATGAAGCGGAAGTTTCTGAACCAAATCCTGAAAGTGTTAAACAAGGGACCTCAATAATAGATCATTGGTTGGTAGTATAGAAAAAATCAACGTTTGAGAAAAGTATAAGAAAAGATGGTGAAGCCTCACTGATGGGATCTATTCGGTTTTAGGTTTGGAGTACTCGCCAGGGAAGGAGAGCTATATGAGGATGACGCAACTAATATAGTGCCTTTCATGCAAGAGGAGGCACGTTCTGACATCAACGGCACACTAAGCAGATATAAGCAAAAAAAGGACAGAAAAGAAAAAAAGGGAAGAGCATAGAGGATGATGTTGACTTGGAATTAACGTTTTGAAACCCGAACTAGACATCAAACCGGAGAGAGCAATGGGTTGCGGTTTTTATAGTCTAACCGGTTAGACTGACGATCGAACCAGGGACATAAAAATTAAATAAAAAATAAAATTTACATGCGCAATTATATAAATAAAACATTAATTTGTCAATGGTGTTTGGGATCTCGACCTCAAAAGCTAGATGCTTGGATTATTGGAGCTAGAGGTAGAGGCATGTCAGTACAAGCTTGTGATCTCAAAGGAAAATGTTGGAGCTGGAGGCATGCTATCATGTTATGACTCACAAGCTTTCAATCTCGATGCTAAAGGTTGGATTTTTAGAACTGGAGGCAGATGTTGGAGGAGAAGTTAAAGATTGAGTTTGGGCCATGAAGGAGAGATTAGAGATTAGAGAAGAGAAAAAAGAGAAAATTAGTGATTAGAGAAGAGAAATTGTGAATCTAAGCAACTCAGCCTAATTTTTTTTAATTTTTTTGGCTTTGAACCGGGTTGACTCGGGTCCGGTTTCTGGGTCAAAGCCAGTTCTCTTAAAATCGGCCGATTCAATTCGAGTCAACCCGAGTCAAACGTCAGATTGGTTCGATTGGTTAAACCGAGCCATTTTGTTCAGCGAGTGGATGTTGGACTGTTTGGTCCGATTCGATTTTAACAACATTGCTTGGAATTAATTGCGATGCATACAGCATTGGTTTAGCAGATAGTATCTTCTCAAGAGTCAAAAGAGAGCATGCAGCAACGGATAAGTGACTATGTTCAGAAAATGGTTTCAAAGCAAAAGGAGAAAAAAAAAAGCAGTGTACAACAAGGGAATGCAAATAAAAGAGCAGAAAAGAGAACAAGGGAGATGGTTAGACAACACGCCAAAAGCAATGAACTGCTGATGTTGACTTAGGAGGAGAATGATGGTAGTTCGGCTAATACTATCAACAATGAAGGGAATCACAGCAAGACAAATTTTGACAATATAGCAATTTATCCTAAGCCATCGAATCCAGGTGAGTTTTGCAAATCGAATTTAGATCCAAGAGAAAAAGTTAGGCCTTATAGTCAAAACCCATCTTCGAGTGGCATGTCTTTAGACTCCTTTATGCCAGAGACCTATTTGTTAACTAGATTCTAAGCCTTGTTGGTCTTTATTTTGCCCTAAATTCCCTTACAGCTTTTCTATGAATAGTAAACTTTTTATTGGAATTCCAGGGGGTCTTATGGACCTAGACTCCTCAGGAACTTAAAAATCATGCTTTCAGGGGAAAAGCTCAATATTCTTGTTTTATCTGACACTAGATGTGACGATGAAACTCACCTACGTTGTATTTCTTCCTTAGGTTTTGATATAGTTAAAATAATTCCTAGTATCGACCACTCAGGAAGATTAGTGATAGCTTGGAATTCTAATGAAAATCAGGTTCAAATCTTAGAAGAAGACAGACAATACTTTCATGTTTGCTGCTGCATCAACAGTTTGCCACCTTTCTTAGCTACAGCAGTATATACTCTTCCTCATTCGAGTTTTTGAGATCAGCTCTGGTTCAAATTATTGAATCTCTCTAAAAGCATTTCTGTTCCTTAGGTTGTTTATGGAGATTTCAATGATATTTCAAATCCTTTTGAGAAATTGGAGGCAAGCTTCGAAGTACGATTCACATGGACTGGTTTAATGATAGAATAAATGATTGCAAGCTTCTTGATCTGGGTTTCAAAGGATCAAAATTCACCTAGAAAGGACCCACCTAGCTGGTTGTACTCGCATTTTTGAGAGATTAGATCAAGCTCTAGCTAACACTGCTTTCATAGCCTCTTTTCTAAACTGCATAGTCAAGTTAATGACCAGAACCTCTTTTTCAGACCATAACCCACTATCTATTTTGCTCAGTGATGTACTTGATTCGAACTCCAATTCAAAGCCATTCCATTTTGAGGTGTGTGGATGTCTCGTGAGAATTTTAATGAATTTCTTAGAGATAATTGGATTATTGGAAATTAGTTTAAAGAAAAATTATATAACCTTCGTGACTCTGTGCAACTTTGGAATAAGGAAGGTTTTGGTATGGTTGAAGCTAAGAAAAAACATATTTTAGCTAGACTAATTGGTATTCAAAGATCCGCTGCTTATCCTTACTCTAGATTTTTATGTAATCTTAAAACTTCCCTTCAGTTTGAGTTGGAAGAAATTTTGAAATAGGAAGAAACCAAGTGGTTTCAAAAAGCTAGAACTAAATGGATAAATAGTGGTGATAAAAATACTAAATATTACCACATTAAAGCAACCATGAGAAGAAGAAGGAATAGCATTCTATCTCTAAAGAATAAAGCAGGAGATCTTATAGAAAGGGAACAAGAATTGCTGTCACTTGTTTCCCAATTCTTTAAGCAGCTATTCAATTTAGAAAATGATCAAGTGACCCTTTTTCCTTGTTATTAATCTGACTCTTGTGGAGACTTTGTCTGCTATCCCTACCAAGGAAGAAATTATGAAGGTGATGTTTTCTATAGGTTCTTATAAAGCTCCTAGTTATGATAGGTTTTGGTTTCCACCAATTTTCTTTAAATCTAATTGGAAAAATATGGGAGACTCTTTTAGTCAATTCATAAAAGATTTTTTTTAATGCAAGATTTCTATAATAGAAGCTAGCAAGACCTTCATCTCTTTAATTCCTAAAAGAGACAACCTAGATTTGGTCAACCATTTCAGACCAATTTCACTTTGCACTGTCCACTACAAGTGTATTGCAAAAATCACCAACTAGAGATTGAAAGGTTATATGGACTCAATTATATCTCCCTTTCAAGCTAGTTTTATTCCAGGTTGACAAATACAAGATAATCTAACCATTGGGCAGGGAATCATGCACATTATGAAGAAAACGAAGAGACAATCAGGTCTTTTTGCCATGAAGATTAATCTTGAAAAGGCATACGATCACTTAAGGTGGGATTTTCTTCAACAAGTCTTAACTGATGCTGGTATGAGTTCTAATTTTATCTCCCTAATTATGAAATGCATGACTACTATCTCATATATATATTGTAGAATGGGAACCAATCTAATTTCTTTTCTCCTTAAAGAGGTCTTCAGTGAGGGGATCCTTTGTCCCCCTTCTTATTTGTACTATGTACGGACAGGCTTTCCCATCTAATCAATGATGCAGTCAATTTTGGTTAATGGAAACCTATTTATGTTACCAAACAGGGTCCAGTGATTTCACATTTGATGTTCGCAGATGACTTACTTCTCTTTAGTGAGGCTACGTAGAGACAAGCTCTAGTTATGATGAAATGCCTAAAGGATTTCTGTTTAGCCTCAGGAGAAAAAGTGAACTTCTCAAAGCCTTCACTATTTTTTTCAAAGAATGTTAATGCTAAAACAAAAGGCAGAATTAAAAGATCAGTCGGCATGAAAGTCTCTACGGAGATAGGTAGATACCTTGATTTTCCTTTCTTAGGAGATAGACGACCAATAAATAAATTTAGCTATATTGTGGATAGGTTGAAGGCTAAATTAGCCGGCTGGAAGTCAAATTGTCTCTTTTCTGAAGGGAAGGTAATTTTAGCCA